GCTTTAGCTGCAGCAACCTTAAAAAGTAATATTAAATACATGGAAAACATAACTGTTAGTAATAATAATAATTTTCATAAAATTCCACACTCTTATCATTTTAAAAAAAAGTATTTTAATTTGAAGTTATGGTCTTATATATATGTAGATTATGAACTTCTTTTGTAATGAATAAAAGCGAAGACATTCTATTATCACGTATAAAAATTTATTTCACTACATCGAGTCGTAATGAGGCTATTGAAAGGCAAAATATTTGTTTTAATCACAATAATTTGGTCTTTCTATTTATGAAAATGGAATTTTTGATTAAAATACAACGCTTTGCCCGGCATCGAGAACCTCTTTATTTTAACGTACTGATCGTAGGGTTTCCACCTGAATCTGTAACTTTAACTAAAACTACCACATTTATCAACGGGACTTCAAAAAATAAGTCTCAAAACGAGGAACACTGAAATCTCAATGCTTTGAGAAAGCAGACTCGTTTTTACGTTATTCACTAGTGAAGGAAGATCTGTCTTCCGAAAGTGCTCAGGTTATGAGGTGTCTTGTGATATAATTTATTTATTGTATATTTATCATTTTTTTTAGTATCACGAATAACCGCTAGCTGAAAGGTTGATGTGTGTCAACAGCGTTAATTAATTTATAGCAAAATTTGTTATAAGCAAGACAATACTAATATTAAAACTTTCGGAAAAAATATGGTTACGTTCATAAGCACTGGTTATAAGTTATTCTATTTTATTTTTGAAGGATCAAGAATGCTAATATATTTCATATCCTTGGATATTTCAGCATTAACGAGTGTGGGAGTTTCGTATTCGTGGAGCTATAGCAACGTGATTGACGAAAGCCCAAGTGATTTTCAAATATGGACCGCTATTGTTTCCTCACTTACTAGATGGCGGGAGCTAAGGAAAAGAAAACTAATGCATCATTCACATGTGCACAAACGAGATGAAGAAGTTGTTTGCTACACGCAATATAACTGGTGTTTCCGAGATGAAGGTCCGTTTGACTACTTGGATACACTCCCGGAATCCCCGGAAGCAGTTGGGACACAATTCTATTTGTATACCAGGAAAAACCCTCATCATGGGGATCTTCTTCACTATGATGACAAATCATCTTTGTATTTTTCCCATTTTAATGGTAGTAACCCAGTAAAAATTGTAATTCACGGTTTTGGAGGAAGTGCTGACAAGTCTTGGGTAAGACAAATGGTAGAAGGTCTTCTTTATGCTGTAAGTATTATAAATATGAACACTAGTACTTATTACCGGAATTTTATAATTTCCAATAAATAATAAGAGGTAGTTAGAACTAATATAAAATGGTTATTGCAATTAACCGATTTTTATTGACAGATGAGCATGATCTTTCAGTGGACTTCAATATGGCAATCTCCTATAAATACGGCCATATTACAAAATGCGACGCTCCAGTGAGTACAACTATAATGGAAAATGGCACTCTTCATTGGACGCAAACATAATGGCAGATTACGATTTCCTTTGGCCGAAGCTATATAGTCTGATCCATCTGGGACTTAAACCCTTAGGGTAGAGCAATTTCTTAGATGATGCAACTCCTGAATAGATCTTCTCTGATTGTTGGGCAAGTTTATTTGAAAACCACAATGTCATATCAAGACACGTTTCTTTCATATGACTATCTAACTATTATTTTGTTATATTTCCGTTCAAAATCGAAGATGCTTTAGGTAAACTGTAATCACTAAGGTTCAAAAAATTAAAACACCATGCATTGAGATTTATGGGGCTCTTATTTGTGTCATATGTCCCAGGCCTAAAGTTTATAAGGATTTTTGTCTACATTAAGGATATTTAGACATACACAATCTCTTAATCTATAATTATTTAACTTTTAATATTTATCAAAACGAATTTGCAAGAAATATGGAACAACTGTATTGATGATTCAAGCGATTTTCAACAAATCATTAATTGTTTGTCCTTGGAAAACTAAAAATAAACACGGGTCATAGGTAAGTTTAGAAACATTTTACATGTTAGAACTGGACAGTACAATTAAAGTTTACCCAGACTTTAAAGCTGTAAACACTTTGATTTAATGTGGTAGTTTGTTTGAATATAAATAATGATTACAAAGAAAACCACATATTTGAAACGATTATATCTTAACATATATTTGACCTAGGTGAAGAATATTCACATCAACCAACTGAATAACCATAAGTTTTATTTAAGAAACTTCGGGCGTGGTGCAAGTTATTTCAAAAACATACTAAGCTGCATATGTAATTCGCTTTTCTCGCATACTAGCAATCTTTATATTTCTCTCATTTTGAGCAAGAAAATGGCGACATGAGTAAAATTCGTTGATCGACTGTGCTATAAAAATAATAGTTTGTTTATTTTGGCCAAAAGACAATTTTTAAAAGAAAATGAATATGCACTTGTTTATAATTTTCCTAAAATGTTAAAAAAAAGAATTAGTTGGTTTGAGAGACTGGGTCGGTAAAATAAACTCCTCATTCCAAACAGATATGTCTATCTGTGGAAGCAGTGGTAAAATAAACTCTTCGTTCCAAACAGATATGTCTATCTGTGGAAGCAGTAGTGAAGGTTTCTCAGAATATCAAAGCTAAGAAAGCGTGCATTTTAGGATGACAAGTGAAAGCTGTGCTGCTTGTCACTTTAGACGCCTGTATGTTATTAAGGGATGGTTATCCCCCTTTGTACGTTGAAACCTGGCGGGGTTGATGATCGATGAAACGCAATGGAACAGGTGATGAACAATGGATGTTTTGAACAGGTGAATTTTACTTTTATTTTATTGTCTATGTCAACTCAAGAAATGTTGGTATGTCCATAAATATTCACTCGCATTTCACCAAAAACTCACTAATAATTTATATGCTGCTGTACACTACGCTTCATCAGGATGTTTATCGTTAATTGTTTGTTCTTTTAAATTGTTGATGAAACTGGCCGTGCCCAAATTGTTTCCATAACTGGAGGAATCCGTTATGAGAAAATGCTGGAAGACCTCATTAGTACGTCTCGAGGAGCAAGCAACATCTCCTTCCAGCAAAACAGGGCTACCCTTCATATTTATTTACCTTTCATTAAAAGGCTTCTGACAGACATTGTCACTGAAGAAAGATTCATAAGCTATTCATTTAGCCAGAAATAGCCGGAACTTTTCGGATATTGCACTAACATATTTTTTGCTATGGAGTTTCCCTAAAGGAAATGTCAGTCGGAATAGCGAACGAAATTTGGAAGATTTGAAAACAAACATCAGAAATGATATTTTGAAGTTAAAAATGAACACTATTCAAAATGTATGATGCAATAGCGCAGGGATAAGCTAGATACGCTGACTGAGAATTATTGGAAGTTTTTGAGATACCCTGTACGGTATCCAAACTTTTTGGAATAAAAGTAGGTTGTGATTCTCGATGTGCTTCTGGTGAAATTTAGTTCTCCTGGGTTAAATATCTTTTAAGATATTTGTTTGTTTTGAATTTCGCGCAAAGCTACACGAGGACTATCTGTGCTAGCCGTCCCTAATTTAGCAGTGTAAGACTAGAGGGAAGGCAGCTAGTCATCACCACCCACCGCCAACTCTTGGGCTACTCTTTTACCAACGAATAGTGGGATTGACCGTCACGTTATAACGCCCCCACGGCTGAAAGGGCGAGCATGTTTGGTGGGATGGGGATGCGAACCCGCGACCCTCAAATTGCGAGTCGAGCGTCCTAACCACCTGGCCATGCCGGGCCTATTTTATTTGTAATCATTCAGTACTTCAATTGGTTAGAGTTACAGTAAAGTTCTAGTTTCAGTCATAAGATTGTATAACAGTAAAATATTTGTGACTATGTTCAATAAAAAGGAATGAAGTATTTGTCATTGAATAGGAAACTAGAGTTGTGTTACTTCTGAAAACGTGATTATTCTAACGCCCGAATGCAGAACCAGATATTTGTAGTTGTTTTTAATGGTAAGCGTCACATCTTTATTTGTGTTTATTAGTGGTGTCCTAATGAATTATATTCTATCATACAAACACCGCTAAAAGTAACTTATAATGTTCATGGTCCGTGTAACTAATGCTAAACGATAATACATCAAAGATAGAAGCACATTATTGGCCACTTAATAAAATATATACGGATAAATGTGGCCTAAATCATGTGGATCAATAAAATATTAGAATAAAAAACTGTTAGACCTGTCACAATGAAAATATATTGTTTCTATATTGTTCAATTTCGCGCAATGTTACATGAGGGCTATCTGCGCTAGCTGTTCCTAATTTTAGAGTAATAGGCTAAAGGGAAGGCAGCTAGTTAGCATCACCCACCTCAATTTTCGGGCTATTCATGTCAGACCGAATAGTGGGATTTGACCGTTACCAAGAATGCGGACCACGAATGATATTGGCAGTAATGGGAGGAGAACGACAGAACCTCAGATCCACACTAAGGCACGATAATCACCGGCTTGCGCTCGGCCTGTTACTAATGGAAGCCTCTTTTATAAATAAAAAAGTCACAGTTTCAAACTTTGAAATGAATAAGAAAATTTAAAATTGCTTAGCTCTTTACGAAGTGCAAAAATAAATAGGTAGATGCGATACATGAAGATAAAAGCACAGGAATACGAGTTAATATGATGCAAGTGTTTTGGATGAAATGACACTAAATCCCTGCGAACAAGAAATAATCGTTAAATGTTGTTATTAAATAACATATATATAAATAAATGTGACTTAATATTATTTATTTTTACAAATGATATAAACAGTGGTTAGAGTAAGCCAAGTTAGCCTTTATGTGGATCATCACTATTATTGATGAGTGTCAGCATTGTATCTGCTGTGACTTAAGTGAGCCAGGTATGTCTTCTCAAAGGTATGATTGAGCCATGAATATATGTTCTGAGTTACAAGTGAAATTTTTAATTGTCCGCTCTGAGACACTAATGGCTCCTAGCAGTGTTAATGAGACACATATCTCTTTGTTTAGTCATTTGAGAATGTTCTTAGCAAACGAAGACCTTTTTATAATCGTACCACACTGTAGTGTATAAAAAAAGCCCTAGCATTAAAGATGGGGTCCATGTGGACCTTATTAGATCTTTAAATAGGCATTTCTAAAGTATTTATGCACCTAACAGTCCGTGAATTTTATGGTTACAGGATCCCTAATAACACATGAGTAACACAAAATAATGTAAAGAAAAATATCACCGACATTAGAATTACGCTCTTTAATCCCACTAATCATTGCTGAGATTTCCTAGTAACTGTTGTAACAATCACAAAAAAAATCTTATATATTTATTGCTAACCGAGGTGTCTGTCCAAGCGTTCGTCTTTCTCCCGTTTGAAAAGCTACGCACGAAGGCAAAGCTCAACATTCACTTTCGAAATGATGGGAGAACAAGCATGAATAATGTTGATGCCAAATTTTATTTCGCTAACAGAATATTCTACACTGAATTATTAGGAATTGATCACACTACCATTCTCATTTCAAAATGTGACGTAACTTAAAGAATAAAAATGTAGATTTACCGTATGTTATTGTTGAAAGGCTCTTAGCATGATTGAAATGCTCAATAATTACTTGTTGCGGTGGGCTCTGAGTAAAACCAAGAGTGCAACACAGTTAACCTTTTTAAAGTCAATAAAATAATTTATATTGATAGATTAACTTAAACTTTCCCGTTAGTGGGGACGGTTACTTTTGCTAGATTAATTTAAACTTTTCCCATCACTGGGGACGGGTACGTTTGCTTGTCATTCAATATGATGCAATATGTGACCTCACCGATTGTTAACGATACAAAAACAAGTTTGTAATTTGAAGGTTAATAAAGAACACGGCAAGCTCGTGTAAGAATGGAAAATTACTTCTACTGAGAGTTATTCTCAGAGGGAAAACAGTTCCGCTAAAAAATGGATCTCTTTGATATCTTCTGACTCTTGAGAAGAGAATTGCCAATAATGACCAATAGGCTCCAAGTGATAACGGTTCGAAAGGGATTGTAAGTTCTGACATAAATTATGCCGTATAAAATAAAGAAAAAACGTGAATGCAAAACCAGCCACTGGAGTCTAATGTGTTTACTAAATACAATTAGTGGTTTGACACGTATCCACAGGATCTAACCGACAATACTGAAACAGGAGCAAACACTGAAAGTGACAAGATTGAATTATAATGAAATAGTTTAAAAAACTCTAGACTTGAAATGTGATTAATTCTTAGTAAATACCCTAGGATTGAAAATCTAAAATGATTAACATTCTATCAGCAACTCGTACATGATTTTGCTCACAAATGCATTATAAAACTGAATGAAAATTAATGGATGCATATAAGTATGATAAGTTGAAACCTGTTCTAGTGATAATGAAAAAATCCCCTGTGGGTCAGCTCTAAGTTTAGGGACTTATAATGCTAAAATTTGGAGTTCGAGTCCCCACGTTGAACACAGTAGATATCCCAATGTAGCTTCGCGCTAAAAGAAACAAACAAACGAAGAATTTGAAAAAAAAATTACTCAACCAACTGTTGGATGAAACGTTAGATTAATGACAATCTAATAATTTAAAAATACGTGAAATAATAGAATAAAAATACTCATGAATGTTTCATAGAAAATGAAAAAAACAAAAAAGAAAATACTAGATCAAGTGTATGCACCTACCAATACTGATTCTGAAAAAAACAAAACAATATGGCCCAGTAGTTAAGATGGCGGACTGTGTATCCGAAGTTCTATGGCTCCGCCTCGTAATCTGCGAAAAAATAATCATGCTTGCACTTTTAAGCAGAGGGTGTATTATAAGAGTGAAAGTCAAATTCCAGTATTTGATTAGTTGTTTTCTCTCAAGTCTATTACTTCAAAATTAAGAACTGCTGGTTGAGATAGCATTGGAGAAGCTTTGTGCGAAATTTGACAAAATAACAACGACTCAAAATAAAATAAAACGTAAAAAGCAAAAGTAAAACTTGTTTGTTTATTGTTTTTTTGTTTTGTTTTGTGTGTGTGTGGATCTAGTTTCTTGATTTGTGCAAACATGTCATTAAGCTTAACCCTGTATTCCCTGGGCTAAAAGAAGGCCTACAACTCAATTTTGTGTGCAACTGTTATTTTTTCTTGTTGTTTTTGTCTACATATTTCGGTAATTACTGTTTACTCAAAGTACTTCCACTTTTAAGCTGATATGGACAAAGGATGGATGATAATACCAAGAAACGGTGCATTGACAGAGCAATCTTGCTTTAAGCTAAAGTAATAGTAATCCAACAATCAAAGAGGACCTTTCCATGAATTACATTAATCAAGGCTTTTTATGACATAAGGGAGCTACGGCTCTTGAGAGTTAACCATCATGGCCGTGTCAATAGAAAGTATCTATCTTCTAATGTAGTTGTGACCCATAAGAGGTCATCATCTTGAGGTCCTCTGGGTGACCACGCCATACGTAAATGAAAATCGGTTAATCTAACAGTTGCAGTAATAAATATTAACTTTTCTTTCAATAAACAGCATTGAATAATATATTTGCTTACTAATAACTATCTATGAAAATTATGTTTCTCAGACATTATAAAAATGTGATACCTTTTCTAATTATTTTCTGGACAATTGCTATTTAATTTACAATACCACATACAGATGCCACTAATGTCCGATATTTTGGGACTAATACTTCATGATTGCCCAACAGCTGTTTCCCTTTTAAAGATTGGTTATAATTTCGCGCAAAACTACATGAGGGATACTTGCGCTAGTCGTCCCTAATTTAGCAGTGAAAGACTAGATGAAAGGCAGTTAGTCATTACCACCCACGGCCAACTCTTCGGCTATTATTTTACCAACGAATAGTGGGATTGGCTTTATAACTTCCCCACGGCTGAAAGGGCGAGAATGTTTGGTGGGTCAGGGATTCGAAACCGCGACCCTAAGATTACAAGTGAAGCGCCATAACCTACGTTTTGCTGCCTGCTTAAAACGTTTTGCATTTAAAGATCTTTAAAAAACAGAAATGTGACTAACATTATAATCTTTCAAAAGCCACTCCCCGTATTTTTCAATCATTATTAGGTCACAATAACAGTTGAAACTTTCTTTACTTAAAACGGCTGAAACGAGATCAAGAAAATATAAACACTTGTATATATCAATGTTAAGGTAACTTGACATCATTGTTTAGTGGTTTTAAGTATTCTAACGTTTTCCTTTACAGAAATTTGATACAAAAAACTTTGTGATGCATAGTACATCATTTTGATTTTACGAATAATCGGAACGATATTATTTATAACTTAGAACATATCCAAACAGTGTGTGGGATATCAGTTTGTTTCTATTTAATATTTTATGGGACCCGTTGAGGAATAGTATGTGGGTTTCTCTGTTTCAATCACTTTTCCCCTTTCCTTCTCCAAGACACTCTTCTGGCAGTGGTCCCCAGCTTCCCCGTCCTCTCGGTAGCTCTGGCTGTAACATGAAAAAACCCTCACTAGTAACTCTTTCTGACAATAGTAATAATAATCATGTTTGTTTGTAGTCAAGCAGAAAGTTACATATTAAATTTTTTGATTCATAATTAAACTTTCGTTTTTAACGCAAAATTGATGTTTTATGTTTGTTAAAAATTTTACTCTAACATCACCAGGCGGATGTGAATGTCATTGTTGTTGACTGGGAAAATGGCGCTAAATTACCGAATTATGTGCAAGCAGCAGCTAATACTCGACTCGTTGGTAAAGAAATCGCACAGCTTATACGTTTGATAAACTATGAACGAGGAACTACAAATCATGACTTCCATCTGATTGGATTTTCGCTTGGCGCTCATGTGGCTGGATTTGTTGGCAGGGAAACAAAAAATCTCAGTAGAATAACAGGTTGGTGGAAATTTTGCATATAATTCTTAAGTCTTAGTGTTAGATTTAAAATTAGAAATTAAATAGAATTAGCGAGAGTGGAACTAAAATAGTAATGATGCCCTTTTGGCACATCTATATTGCCATTAACTTAGGAAACAAGGTAATGTCTATCTTTCTAAATTCAAAATGGACCTGTTTTAGCTTGTTGAACATGAAATTTGTCTACTTACGGTATCCCGTTTTCCGTTACTATTATTATTATTTCATGCAAGCATCTCAAAAGTACTTCACATATAAAATACAAATGCAAGATTCACAATAAGGGGAAAATTATATGACATTTTTTGCGATGTTCTTTATTCACTACGAACAAAAACATCTTAATTTAAGTGTCTGAAAAACACCAGCAATTATATTAAGTTGTTCAATAAAAATTATGGGAAAATAATCGTGAGGGCCAATCTGTTTGTAAATTTGCTATGTGTATGACCAGCTAGTTTCTGAGAATTTTCCCCTCACCACTAGACTTTTACCATTCTCTAGGATTAAGGAATACAGGTGAGGGGTGGAATTCTTGATAACTGATCTAAACCATCAAGGAATGACGAATCCAAAAACAAAGTTTTGGTGATAAGAAAATTTGAAGTGTTAATACTGTTTTTACCGTAGGCTTAGATCCAGCTGCACCTTTATTTGAAGGCTACGAAGCAAAAGTACGATTGGATCCGACTGACGCCAAATTCGTTGACGTCATTCACTCTAATGGAGATAGTGTGATTCGAGGGGGATTTGGAGCTTATGAATCCATGGGCCACGTGGATTTCTTTCCAAACGGTGGAAAATTCCAACAAGGTTGTAGCAGTGTCTTTGTTGGCGCCTTATCCGATATTATATGTAAGTTTGGTGAAAAATTTAATTTGGAAATATAAACAAAAAACTTTGATTTTGTATATCTTCATTATATGTCTAGCCTAAAGAATACAAAATGGGGCAGTATGCTTATGTAACTGAATACAGTAGTCCACGACTCCAGTAGTATAATATAAATATTACCAAGCCTTTTTTCTTCTATAATGTTTTACTATCATTTTGTAAGATTTTGAAATCCCACGATTCATAGTTAAGACTATTTATTATTAGCTGTAATTATTATTCTAGAACTGTAAAAACTCTTCTGGTAAAAGGTATTACATAAGTGTAGAAACAAAATAAAAAATCCCGACAAATATGTTCATCTTCATCCTTAAAAAAACTTATTTAATCGTATTTTATATAATAGCCTTTACTGTTAAATTATCTACAGCATTTACGTCTATTTTTACCGTTCTGGTACCTTCTGGAGGAAATTTTACAACCTTTTTTTTTTTACTTTAATAAGCGTCAAGTGCTATGTAACATTCCTAGGTCAAACAGGTTACTAATAAACCCCATTTCGAATTTGTGTCTCCTAGCTGAATATATTTCATGATAAATTGATGCAATTAGGAATTTCTAGCTTAGGAATTGCTCAACGATACCAATATATGATGAAACACACCAAAACAGTTTCAGGTGGTTATCAAAGGCAGAAATGTTTCATGGTAATGCCTTTGGTGCCATCACTCTGTCTACCAAAAAATGGTCTAAACCTAATTAAAGTGTGCAGCAATCATCAAACTCCCACTACCTACTAAAAATTAGGTTTTCATTTATTTACTTTTATATTAATTTGCTGAGAGTACCCGTTAAGGAAGCATAAGTTGTATAAAGGTGTTGGATATACAAGACTGACCAGTTTCAAAGTTATTAGTAAGTTTATTTAGTAACTTAATATTAAATGACTATTTAGTTTTCATAACAAGAGTGTTAAAAGTTAATTAATTTAAAAGCGGTAGTTATGACAAGTTTCGCTACGTAACTCTGTACGAATCGTACGTTGTGTATGTAATTTAATTGTTGTACTAGGCTTTTGTAATATTGTTGACATCATTTTACTCGAAGCTTCTAAGTTTTTTTTAAAGTGTTATATTGTTGTTATTAGAGGACTAGGCGTTTCTATATTTTTCTGTTTCATGTAATAAATACGCGCAGATACGGAGAGCAGATTAAGTTAATTTAGTGAAAGCAAAAGTGAAAAAAGTGAAATTAAACTGGTGATCGTGAGTTTAGCCATAAAGTGTGTGTAGTGGCGACTTTTTAAAGTGTAATAATTACAGATTGTATTGTAATAACAGAGTAAAGAAGAATAATTCATATTGTCAGTTGGGTTCTAAAATAACTGAACCAGACTGTGTGGACTGCTGACATAAAAGGGAATTATTTAAAGCTCTGGATACAATGTGGTAACTCGCAGGGTATGTAGTTGAATTTATCACTGATTGTATTGTAACAACAGAGTAGAGGAGAATAACTTGTCTTGTCAAAAGGTGTTCTAAAGTAATTGAACCCGCCTGTTTGGACTTTGACTTAAAGTAGACAATTATTTAAAGCTTTGGATACAATTGTGATAACCAATAGTGTAACAGAGTTTTGTACATACATTTGACTTGTTTTGAATACATTATTTTAAAACAAGTGGATTTTGTGCTGTCCGTTTATTGTTTAAATTTATCGCCAACAAGTCACAGACACTTAATGTATAGAATCCAGCCTTATGAAACCTGAAAAGGTGTTAGGTGGTGTTCCCCTTTCCTCTTTCTTTTGTCATTAAACCTCTAATGTACTCATTAGATACTAATTGCATACCTTACTTTGTGAAATTGATTAAGTACTTGTGTCTTTTAATTTCAAAGTTAAAATACTATAAAAAAGTGGAAGTGTGCCCTATTTCATGGCTGTTTTTTAACAGCCCCTTCTTGGGCAAAATCCTAAAACAAAATAGCTCTCGTCACCATCTGACAATTTCCAGTTACTATACCAAACAGTACGGTAATATCAAGCCATCCAACTCTGGGTGATACATGCTAATATATATAAACACACCCATAATGGATCATCTTTATAATAAGAGGTTCGAGACGGAACTTAAACTACTTCTATAGTTTTAATTAACATAATCGTGTATAATTAAGCTGTGGAATCTTGGAATTTGTTTGGTAATAGATAAGAATATAGATAGAAAGCTCGAAACCATAATTAAAATAGCTTTTTGAGGTGATATAGTGTATATATAGTAAGTACCATAGTGGTTTCTAAAAGTCCTAGCCCATAATACTAAAGTAGGTCTTCAGATAATAATATCAAAATAGCATGGTAATCAGCTAATGTTCTTAAAAAAAGCTTTTAGTCAGCGACTATGCAATGACAGTAAATTTCATTTATATTAGATAATGAAAATTGGTGCATTTTCAAACATTAAAAAAGCATGGATATGGGCAGTTCTTGTTAGTATACGACTAAAAATTGTCTCTAGTTAATAAACATGCATTAACAAAGCAATATGAGCTTTAAATCGGCAATGTTGTATTAGCATGAACATATGAGCTAATCTCTCATATGCAGCTTAGGCAGGACCTTGGGACAATAACAAGTGGTAAAAGTAGTGATATGAACTAGTCATTAAACTGTTGTTTAAATTCAATTTTGAGAGTAACAACTATTAGCAAGGCAATACAATTTTTAGTTGGGGTGTTTTTAAAACAGACCTTCAAGCAATAATGATATTCAACATGGCAGTATTAGATAGTCCTTGGAACTTCTCTAAAACATATCATGAAGCAACAATAATTATTAACATGACAGTATTAGTTAGTTCTTAGGACTTCTCTAGAACATACCTTGAAATAGTAACAAAAGTAGTTACTCCTTTGTCCCTGTGTCTGAAGGATTCCACCTTACACTGTAATTTTTGTATTCAATTAGACTGTTCATTTCTAAAAACGTGATTATCAATGATAATACATTGTCACTATCTATGTATTTACTTTATACTTAATATTGAAAATAAATGATTCTAACTTTACCTAATCATATATTTTCTACATAAATTTAATGTTCACCATTTTTTCTTATAACTTTGAGGATGCTTCCCAGTGACACAGCAGTCTGTCTGTGTACTTACAATGCTAGAAACCGGATTTCAATACCTGTGGTGGGCAAAACACGGATAGCCCATTGTTTAGCTTTGTGTTTAACTATAAACAAGAACAACAATCTTTGAGGACAAATATAACTGAACAGTCTTCTACAATAGAGGTTAACTGACATCGCATACATGTTCAAAACCACCATATCAAATAGAAAATATACAGTTGAATGGCCTCTGTGGCACACCAGTATGTCTGTGGACTTACCACTAGAAACTTGGTTTCGATAGCCCATTGTGTAGCTTTGTGCTTAACTACAAATAAAATTGAATGTATGTGTGTTCTTTATAACTGACATCATTAACATTGAAAGCAAACAATCGCCAAATGACTGGAATTCTATGTTCAGTTTGGTCATTAACATTGAAAGTAAACAATCACCAAATGACTCTTCACCCTTAATGGCTCACAGCTAATGCCGTGTCAAATTGTTATTAAGAAGGGAAGGGCTGATTAATTTTATGTTCAGTTTGGTCATTGTTCATATATAGTCTGATGATCTATGTGTTGGATATTGAAGACTACTGACCAACTCGATAAACTTTGGTTTGAGAAAGTATACTTTCTAGCTTGACGTCAGTGTCCAGATTGTATGTATGTGTGATATTTAATAACAGTGTCTTAATGTTAGACAGTTTGAATGTTTTATGAACTTTTAATAGAAAATCGATGGAAAAACTGTAAGTCATTTATTTATTATTCTTAGTTATAACAAAATGAATTACTAGACAAATGACATAAAAGGTGAAAGAGTAAGTTTTTAATTAATGCATGATATTTAACTAGGCGTCCTTTTAAGATGAGACATGTTGAAACGTGCATGTTATCCTACAGGAATATAGAAAAATCTTTGTAAATTGTACCCAATTAAATGTACTTTGAAACTTATATGTAAACCTTTGTAAAATACATGAAATACAAATAAATATATAAATGAAAACAAAAAACATAAGTTGTGATCTCATTCAAAAATAATAGATAACAGCAGGTTTGTTAAAATTCTGTGAACAGTGAGATTGTCATTAAAATAATGGTTTTAACATAATTAAATCTAGACATTGATGACATAATCATATCTTGAAGTATAGTAACACTGTCCACCATTGTAAAATTAGTGTAAGCTAAAAACTATAGAGTAATATGTGTTAGAACAAAATATTTTGGGAAGTTATATTGATAGCATAAAGACAACCCTAGTGAAACAGTAAGTTTCAGGTTATTGCTTGATATTTAAGTAAGCATCTGTTTCAGGAAATGTAATCTAATATATATATAGCTATTGAATTATTGTTTTATATTGATTGTATTAAATTTAACTATGTTGAAATATGTTGATCCAATTTGTGGACATCATTGTCTGTAACAATGGCCCAACAAAGTGCCCCTCTCTGGTGACATGATTGCATGGTGCCATTGCCCTCTGATGATACTTCGTGGAACTATGACGTCATAGTCTCTGGTGACATCATTGTCTCTACACCTACTCCCCTTAGCATTAGAAAGTCTTGTTTCTACAATAATGATAACAATTAACATTCAATCATATTAACGAAAAAAAAACTCTTTTGGAACAAATATTAGTACCAAGATTAGGAAACTAATTTCGACACTTTCATGTGTCCTCTTTAGTCCTACAATATAACGTTGTTGGTCCAAGGCTTATTTTAGGGAATCCCCAATGACTAGCTAATAATGCCAATGTTAATGCATTGTCAGTAGTTACCCCCTCATCTTTGTGTCCAAAGAATTCCGCCTCACGCTGATTGACTGCCTCGGGCAATAGGGGTACTAATAATCCATTCAAATTTAAACGTATGTTTATCAGAAGACATTATCATAATGAAGCATCAAGTTTAAAGATTTTTTATTCATGCTTTTAGTTTATCACTTTATATACTTTATAAAATGTCAACCAACAGTAAATGAAACATCAGGACTTTAAAAAAAACATTTTATGACCTGAAAGCAGCATCATTATATATCTAAAGCTATCTACTTTGACTTCTGTTGTGGTATCTATTCAGTTATTCATTTTATAAATTTAACAATTTGTCTGGTTCTCCTGGTGGAACAACGGCAAATTTATGGATTTACATCGCTAAAATTCGGGGTTAGATTCCCCGAAGTGGACAAAGCAGATAGCCCAATGTGGCTTTGCCCTAAAACAAACAAACAAACAGGTTTTGTGAGTGAAATAATTTAATTAAATAGTACACTATTTATATCTATCAGATAGTTCAGTAAATGGCTTTTGACACATCATTATTATTATATTTTAATTTTTAAACAGGGGGACAGTGGCAATCTTTATGTCATCATAGAAGAGCTCTTCAGTTTTTCATGAACTCATTGATGCCAACTTGTTCGTTTCCTTCTGTGGCTTGTGATAGCTACGAGGAGTTTGTTCGCGGTGACTGTTTCACGTGTTTCGAGGATGCTTGTGGTAATATGGGCTATTACGCTGACAAATCAGCCCGCCAGGGGAGGATGTATCTGCTGACCCGTGCTGCGGAGCCTTTCTGTGGTAAGTGTAAAAGTGGTTAAATCCCGAGGAAGCCAATGATAATGTATGTCTAAAACCCAAAACAGACCAACGGTAGTTATGCAATGTGCCCTGGTTTTTGAAGTTCTAGCGAAAGTTAGGCTCAAATTGTGTTGGGGATACAGTTTCGCAGGCCTCACATTCTTAAAGAAAAATAATAAAGAGCAGATGTAGGTGCTCTAGCCCACAACGTCCCACATCTTTACCACCTTTTGCTGTCTGCAGCCAGATGTGGGAAGGTGGCTGTTCAAAATAAAAATAATTAAGAAGACAGAAATAATTGGAATATATACACCAATGGGAGAAACAGTAAAACTGTCCTTGAAGTTGGTATTCCATCCTCCATAATGATGTTTGGACATAAATACCAAAATGTTAAGGTATTACTATACAAGCTCAACCTAAGTTGTTAGTATAGCTCCCATCCTCCATCCTGGTTATTTTTTATTTAAATTTTCTAATGTTTTTAAGATATGTTCATTATTTTTAATTATCCAGAAATCATTTTTACTACTTGGGTTCGAAACATCTGGATTCGAAATGTTATTATATTTAATTAAAACAAAAAACAGAAGTTCCCAAATTTAATTTCTTCAGATGATTAAGTACAATAACATTTTTCATGTTTGTTTGTAATACTCGTAAATTCGTTCTATTACAAAAATGTACTAAAAATTGTTAATTGTTTCAACCAATTTTGTCCTTTAGGTAATCAATACAAAGTGATGCTCAATAGCACAGAGGGACAAGGGAAAACCTGGGGTGCTCTTGAAATTACTTTGGTGGGCGAGAAAGGCGTGAATGAAACGTTTCTTCTCACAAAGTAAGTGCTTTTTATTACAGTATATAGAATAGATATATATTTTCACAGTTTTATTCTTTATTATATAACTGTTATTGGAAGATAACGTTTATTAAAGCTTCTTTTTTTGTTCAAGTGTTTGTCGCTTTAGAAAATGAATTAAAATGCTCAGTGTTTCCTCAGGTATTTCGCAAGAATATAGCGTAAATAGGGTTAGCGACTTTTCCACAGGCATAAACATTAAGATTATAAATAAATAAATAAAACGTGAGTTATAACTAAACGGAAACCGCCAAGAGTACGTTTTAACATTCTTCTGCAATATTTAATGAACCTATTTTAGTTGGCTAACAACACTGCAAATGATATAAGATAGGATAGAATCTTCAAGCTGCTCTTGTGTGTGTGATGTTCAGGTAACCTAGTCTTGTTTTTTCGATCTTCCTTTGCCCAGGATTGCTTATGAGAGGTGGAATTCCTCGAAACCGGTAAAACTCGGTGACAAGTCGTGAAACGAATCATACATAGATACACAAAATATTAAGAAGAGAATAATTTCCAACAAATACAGCAAAAGAAAAAGAAATCAACGCAGGCGAATGAATAAAACATGATGTACTTATTCTTATATATATCACATTGTGAATCACTGTGGTACTTTTTAAAGCTAGCTGCCTTTAATATTTGTTGTTTAGAAATATCTGGTTGCTAGAGCTGAAGAAGGTATGTTTGCAGAAGAGCAAAGACAAAGGAAAACAATCATAATGTATCGTACTGTTAAGTCAAAACAAAATTCACACAATTCTCCATTGGTTATTTAATTATCATGCCAATCATACCTATCCAAGGAAGATAATTCCAAAACTCTTACTAACTTGCATAAGTCTTTGTACCACACCATGAAATGATTACAACTTCACTCGAGGAGTGCATAAAGCACGAAGAACCTGTGTTGAACTTTTGTCTAAGCTACAGGATCAGTACAAGAAATTTTGTTGTAACACGTTTATGAAGAATTAACTAATACCCGCATGGAAAGTTTTTAAATACCTTGATCAGACTTACTTGTTTCTAGCATGAAGGTTTCGTAACTTGAAGGTTCACAACTTGCATTCTGAAACAAGCTAAATATAATCGAAATAAACCAGAAAAATCATGTCTAATTTTACAAAATAATATAAACTTATAATATAATAGTAGAGCCAACATAATAGCCAATAGAAAACACAATTAAGGGCACTACATATAACGTAACGAATGTAGTTAACACAAAACTTGTGAATATCAATTACCTGGTTCAGAAATAATATTGATAATACCACAATAGCGGCTTCATGTAGAACAAGTAATACACAACCAGGTCCTAATTATACATTAGAATGTAAACCTCAAGTGCATTACTTTCACTTGTAACTGTTCACTTGGAACAACTGATACACAACCAGGTCCTGAATGTACCATTATACATTAGAATCTAAACCTCAAGTGCATTACTTTCGGCATCATAACTTAGCAATCAGCCCAAATCGCCAGTGGCAGACAGGCCCTCTAGGCAATTAGGCAATATCCCGATATGCCCCCTACAATTCGAACTATGATGTCCTTTCAAATGTTATAGCTTACCACTTAATAACATTTAAACACGTGTTCATAAATTAAACCCTCATTTATCTCGAATGGCCAAATTGATGTAGAACACTATACACATTTAAACCTATAATATCAGCCAATATTTATACCTCGTTCTTGCAGGCCTTGCCACAGGTAAATATAAGACACATTCATAGTCTCTTGAGAGAAGTTTTTAAACAATAAACGCGTCAAATTTTGTAAACCACTAGTCTATTTTTGTTACTTTTTACATATAGGCCTAGATATTTGTGTAAAACTCCCAATGCATGACTGAATATGACTGCATGCTGCGTAAGCATACATACAAGTAACAGCACCATACTTCAATCCTGACTGTTACCTCATAGCTTGGTGTTTTATTTAAATATCTGAGAAAAATCATGAAATTACTACATTTTTTGAGGAAGTTAGGCCTATTTTTAGCCACAAAGTGCAAATCTTCTAAAATGAGAAATTTGCAGGAGACTGCAAAGGTCACATATTGAATTAGCATTTGTTATTGAAAGTGCCCTGTTGAAAAATAATGAACAATTCTTGGGAAGTGAATGTGTGACTAAACAACTATACTAAAGTTTAGTTTGTCTTATATGAATATCCATTTGATCATATAATTATTTTGTAATAATGAAGTAATAACGGTAGTTTTTCTGATATTCATATTTATTATAGGCCTACTTGACAAAGGAATGTTTTTCCCCATCAAAATATTCAAATTGTCGGCTACATTGCTACAGGAATCAGTACGGTGTGAAACTTGTAGGATTTCAAGTTGTATAATGGAATAATAATGCACTGTAATAAACTCAACTTACAACTATTGTATTAGGATTAAAAACAACACTAAGAACTTGATAGATGGGCATCTCAAAGTCCTAATGCTCATAAGCACTGCAACCAGCATTCTACTGAGATACCAAACATTCAACTCATAGGCATATTCCCATAATCATCTGATGAACTCAAAAGGCTACTGGTGTATTGAATTCCGCATTTCAGATACTGATAAAACACACAAACATTGGACACTTACATTTATTATTTCATGTACGTGTTATGCACATATAAAATGAAAACATAATAATGTATAAAGTATACACGTATTTTCATTTTTATGAAAACTAGATCTCTTTGAGAAACTATACTTTTGCACGCGAGTTTCGTATACCACTGAACATGTAATATCATAAGTATTTACTCTTTTAAACTAAAAGTCAAGGATTGTCTGTAAAATAATCACAAAATTATTCACCAAGAGTTCTGTTTCTTTGCAAATTATGGATTCCTCACTCTTAGTCTGATAATATATAACTATAACATGCAGTGCAATTTGGTATACTTCTCAAAATTTCATAGGTAACTAATGGAGTGCCCCTAATAAGCCTTTGCCAATGCCCCCAAAGGGAGCCTAATCCACCACTGCAACTCGACATGTTTATCCCACGAAAACTACCCACTAGGGGTTGTAAATATTCTACTACGTCATTTAAACACGAAAAACAACTAAGACAAAAAATCTACCAAAGTGATATAAATTTTGCCTGATTTGTACAGTCTATGTTTATTTCTAATTCTCTGTTAAAGTACATCCCCCTTACTAAACTAATACATATACCAATTAGGAAATCAAGTGTACTCTTGCATAATGATACAATACAATGTTCCACCAACTTGCATGCAAGATCATAAGTTTGCTTAAGATGTTTCTGCTGGCAAATGTCTGTCCACATTAACTAAACAAACTTAACCCGAGTTCTTGGAAACCAAGGATTTCAAATTTGTTTCAGTATGTTGTTTATCAAAATTTCCAGTCTTCATCAATAGTTGAGATAAATCATCAACTTCCTAGGATTTTATCAACCAACCTTTCTACAGGAATTATTCCATGTCTCAGCTACATAAATCAAGGGATTATAACAAAAATCAGAACAACATCTCACTCAATAAATTTAAAGTAAGGGTCAGACACCCTTCAAGTGTTGATTTTCAATCAACCAACTGTGCTAAGTGAACAATAATCAAATGGTTATCACACGACATCCTGATGGCATTTTACTGCATACTGCACTCATTAGTTCAGAAAGTAAGGAATTCTGCTTCCTTAAATTTCAGTCAATGACTTTTCAAGCAACTGACTGTACTAACTGCACAATAATCAATAAATTATCATATGATATACTGCATATGCATTCTATCATGAAACATCACTTGGCAGCTCAAAAGTAATGATCGCAGCTTCGATATCACCTTTGATCAATGTCCTCTAAACACTTCTATTTCTAGAAATTTAAAATATATTTGTTTGTTTTGAATTTCGCGCAACACGAGGGTTATCTGTGCTAGCCGTCCCTAATTTAGTAGTGTAAGACTAGAGGGAAGACAGCTAGTCATCACCAACCACCGCCAACTCTTTTACCAACGAACAGTGGGATTGACCGTCACATTATAACGCCCTCACGGTCGCGATCCTCAAATTGCGAGTCGAGCACCCTAACCACCTGACATGCCGGGCCGTATAAAATATATATTCAATGTATTGTTGGCACTGGAGATAAAGTGTTACACTTTTCCATTATTTTCTATTGCATCAGTTATTTTAGTTTAGGGTTTCTAAGAAATTAGTAATTGTAAGAAGTAACATGCTGTTTAATACTGCTATGATTATACAGATAAACAAAGTAATTTTTATGGACATATTTCTAGGGATTCCCAAGAGATTCGAGATAGTGAAGGTATCCGAGGTATTGTCGTCACTCATCCATTATTGACCAATATAAGCAGAATAAGCCTATTGTATACCAAGTACAAAGGATGGATTTACAGCGGACTAGATGAATGGAAAGTGGACAAAGTTTCCATCACGGACCCATTCGGAAATATGTAAGCTAATTGATATTACTGCTACGACACTGTTCTTTGACCGTACATTGCTTACAGAATATAGAAAGAAAAAAAAGACTACATTAAAATTCTATCTCAGATTTAAAGATGTGTGCCTCTTTGGCGAGGTTATTAGTGGGGTCCCATTATTTTCTACTTCCACTTGTACAACAAAACTGAGTTACATTAAATCGCATTTAAAGAGTAAACAAAATATACACACCATTACAAAATGGGTCTAGTCAAATTGTCTACTGTGGTTTTGTGATCAGCGTGCAAGAGTGTGAATCCGAGGGTATGTGGTTCGTCTTCATTTACTACAAAATCGTTTGGTACTATGAGTGAATTATAAAAGTGGTGACAGTAAAATCCCACTGTTCTATTAAAGTAGCTCAAGAGTTGGCACTGGTTACTGTTGACTATCCAATTACATTCCCTCTACTCTATCAGTTCAAAAAATTGAGACAGCCATGCACAGATGTCCTTTTTTTTGTAGTTTTCCGTGAAAATTTTTGAAACAAATTCTGGAAGTTTGGGAGTAACTTAAGTTCCTTTCTTTTTTCAACTTTGGTCTGTTTTTGTTGTTTTTAAATTCAACGATCTGTATATTTTTCTCTCGAGAATTTAGTGATTGCCAGGTTTTTGAACAAATTGTTTAAATTATTTCCATCAAGATATCAATGATGCCTAAGTTGATTATCAAGTAGTTATCAGGTATTTCATTTATTACAGAAAGTAAACTATTCGTAATAAACAATATAAAAATTAAACATTTTTCGTAAAGAACTTTAAGTTATTGGAAAATTAGTATTGTTCATCAAAGTCCTCTAGTAGCTCAGTGATAACCGTGAGGGTTTGTAATGCTAAAGGAATCAGTGTTCGATTCCCACTGTGGACACAGCGCAGATAGCCCATTGTGCAGCTTCGTGCTGAAACAAAAAAACAACAAATATTTAACAAGCGCGTGTATTTTACTATATCATACTAGTCTAATTATTAAACGGTACAATTCAATTTCATAAACAAACGACGTCTCTATACAAAGGGTTAAAAATTAACTTCTCAATGTTAGTGAGATATTATAAAGACCTTTTAAGGCCTGACAGGAGGCCATTGTTCAATATTTTTTTAAGACGCTGGAGCTAAATGTAAGTTCGATGGAGCAGTGATATTTTTGTCTGTTTTAGCGTAAGGCTACACAATGGACTAGTCCGTATTTTAGCGTTGTAAGTTCATAAGTTTACCGCTGACCCCCAGGAAGGACGGTCTTTGTCATCTTTTTTTTTTAGGGAACTTTTCTAACTTATAAGTTCTGAAGCTTTTTCCGAGTTGTAATATATTCATAAGCGAATAAATCAATTCATAATAACGCAAAGAGATTTTCTGAATAGTAGTAAGCGACAATAACTAAATAAATAAAAACATGACTTCGACTAATTTGATGTTTCAGCATAAAACAAAAACGCTGAATACATGTGAATCATCAGTCCTTCAGTGAGGCTTGTTTGATTTATACTTAACACGTTGGCTGCTGCCTTATAATATATTAATCCACATTCTGGTGTCAAATTCGTGAAGTTCCAAGAAGCAATCACAATATTCCAAAGTCAAATGCCACAAAGAAACTTTATATTTGCAATATTATGGTCTGTGAACTGCTAGAAGGTCACATTACTAATAGTGCCATGTGACCCTCTGGTGGGCCATATGGCAGCCAAGGTGTTAAAACATTTTATTTACTGGCTAACGTTTTTCAGAAAGAGGGGAGCTTACAACGATTTTTATTTTGAAATAAATGTAACTTTTATTATTTATGTTATCCTTATATGAATTACCTTTCTTTATGCACACATTAAAGGCTTTCTAGTTTTGGTTTAAATACCTAAAAAACATTTTCTTGGTCTTGTACCATTTCTGAAAATCTAAAGCTGAGACTTTTGTAGCTTCAGGTTTCTAAACCATTTATTAAAATTATGATTACGATTTAATTGGAAAGTTGAAGCCTTAGATAAGGCATTTGATCCTCCGAATAAAAATTTGATTTGTCGTTTTCTTCACACATAAAATAATAATTAGTGTGTGTTTTTCGTTTATTTGCAAGAGAGAAACTATTTTTGTATAGTGTATGATGAATCAGTCTAGTTCTGTGGTGAGCAAACTGTGTGCTCGCCCCTTGTGGGGCGCGGAAAGTAGGAGAGGGGAGTGCAACTATGATTATAGGAACATATAAATTAATTGTGAAAGTACAGATTCAAAAATAAAGAAATTTTAAAAACTACCTTCAAGCCGATAGTGATTATCTGATGAGGAATACAAATAATTATTTACTTCTACAAATACTCTGAATAAGCCAATTTACTTTCATTTGTTTTTCCAGTTTCTCCTACTGCGGCTATGCTACAGTTTTAAGAGATGGGGAGCAGACAAAGTTTGATCTCGAGGCAGGTGAATGTGTTATCCCACCTCCATCCCAGAGAGCTCCAAGACTAGTGTGGGAAATAGTCAGAGAACCTATCAAGGGACCAAGTCCTTTACCGCCAAAAGTACTGTGGACGTTAAGTTTCAAACGGTAAAAGCAATTTGTATTACCGGAGGATGCACTTGTAGCTAATGTACGCGGGATTGACTAATTTAACCAGAATCGTCCCTGAAAGCAAAATCCAATATTTTTAACTGTGGTGAATATAGAGAAGATGTTTTTGAAGAACAGCAATACTTCCTTTTGTAGTGTCAGAAATGAGAACAAATTTTATTGTTTCTTTCGATCTGATATATCATCACGGATAATTAATACAGTACATCTTTTATACGATGGTGTTCATATACATATTCAGTTTCAGCAATTTTTAATGCTGAAATGCAATACAAATTTATATTTCTTGTTCAGTTTAACTTAATACTGAACATACTACTTGTTTCCCAGCAACTGGGAGTTTAATAATTTAGTCTGGTAAAGAATGTAAAAGAGCATTTTTAAAATATTTGTACAGAATTAAATTATTACTTATCTCCAGAAAAAACACACTGTTTAATTTATATGAGATGAATATTAGCTCTGTTATTTTTATGTATTAGACTTATGCATGGCTTTGCAAGATTTAATATATTTATCTGCAATATATTTTTTATGAATTTTATCTAGTTATTGTGCCATCTAAATATATATATAAATGCAGTGGTAGAAAACTACGTTTTATGTAGAATTTGTATGTTTTTCTAGCATAAATATCTCATATAACAGATTCAGACTTTTTTTTGCTTTTAAATATTCATTATAAGTATGTTAAGTAATGACTTTGAAATATATTTATTAATATTTATCAATGCATTTCCCAGTTTAAAGAGTTACTGCAGTCATCAGTATTACCAAGCAATTACCATGGGAACATGTATTGAATTTTTAACTGGTTTACACACTGGAGGTGTAGTTTCTTATTTTTATGCTAGAATTCCTCATGTTTTACACTCAAGTTATTCTGTTATTTACAATCATTATTCCTAGGTTATCAAAGTGGTTACCATGGTGACAAAACTGTAGCAAGTAACTGAGAGACGGATTCTTCTTCACATCTTTCCATGTGTGATTTTTTTTTATGGTAAACCATTACTTTTTCAGACTTCATGCTAAAATTGTTACACTTAAAATGTGGTTTCATTGTTGCTACCATGTTTAACATTCTATTTTATTCTGGGGTACAACCAAAATGTTTTGATACTTTTTCAAGAATCATCCACAGATGTGTTTTATTTTTACTGAAACACACATCTTTAGAAGAAATAAAATTTGTTTTGTTATTTTGAATTAAAAGATGAAAAAACAATGTGCAAGTTAAAAAAGAAACGATCTGACTATGGAGTTTTAAAAACAATAATATATTTACTGTAGAAAGGTTCTTCCTTGTTTTTAAGTCTATAAAACAAGTTGGAATATTCTTGTTATAAATTTGTTATATTATTAGTAAAAAGCATGTTTGTTATGGAAACCATCATAATAAAACACACCCACAATTCTTCTACTAAGCATATTACATGTTGGAGCAGACACATAACAAATAAATTGAAAACTAACAAAACAAACAAAAAACTGCCAAACAAAATGGACATGTTTAGCCCATGTAAACTGTATGTTTGGTTGGTTCAGTGTAGTAGTGAATTTTAATTGTCATTTTGTGGAAAAAAAAGCATAAACAATATGTTAATAATAAATATTTCCAAAAAAGCTTATAAAAAGGACACAGTAATTTCAAAATTAGTAAGATTTTTTAGGATCATTTTATTATTTTGTGTCCACATTTTTCAGCCCAAGAGTGAACCTAAGGTCACTATGATATTTTGTAAAGTATATCTTTATTACTAATAAAAAAAAGTATGAAAGTGATAAGTTATTGAGTAATCTAGTCTACTAGTTCGTAATTCTTGTTTAAAATTATATTACACAACTGTATGAAGTTTCTAAGTTTATATTTACATCACAATGAATACTCCACACATTACAATATTCCCAAATTCAATCAAGTTCCCATTTTATTTGCAGGAGAATTTGAGTATTAGTTGCTATTGGTATAACAGCTTAACTGCATTGAGGCAATATTATGTACTTCTTATTATGGCAAAGAAAACACCCTTCATGATAGAGTCCTAGATCACCAGTTATGAATGAGCAAGAATTAAGGTTACATCACCTACATATTAAAATATGAGCTTATTTGACAATGTTACAGGCAGAGACAAATAGACCTATAATTTGAATAAATCTCAGCATTTACCTGAATTTCATTAACAAATTTTTATCTGATCAGTGACCACATAAAAAAAAAGCTAGAAACAGAAATTATGCATAGCATGAAATATCCCATTACTTAATAGAATGTGTATGTTACCAACAAGGGTCAGTTACTAAAATATTGTATAATTTTCAATGTGTGACAAAACATGTATACCTGTTTCTCAGTTAATGCTTTGTTATGGTTAATTAAACATCAAATGGCTAACAAATAATGATGTGTTATTATAAAGTTATAACATAAATTATAAAATCATTATCTTAATTGTTTTACTGTGCTATTGAATCGCTAATATGAAATGTATACCACAAGGATTAGTGTGAGAGAAGTAAAAATATAAGGTTATTATAAACGTGTCACTGACACTAGAGCATTTTACTGGAATTAAAGAGCTTTACTTTCTACTATACCATCTATATCTATTCTTAATCAAGCTAAATTCCACGGTAGTTAAGAAAGCTCTTTATTATAAACTTTTTAGTAACTACAATAGAAAATATTCTGTATGTGCAATAAATCTAAACTATACGATGATAATTACACTTAGTACTTCCATGACACGCTTTTATCATTACTTAAAACATATATATAGAGGAAGATATTCGTATGATAAAAAAAAGTAATATTTTGGTAAGAATTTTTCTAAATTAACATTCTGGACCTTTAGCCTACCCATCATATTGTAAAAAACAAACAACCTATATTACACAGATTGTTTACAAAACTAAGTAATATTTCCAAAACAAATGTGAGTGGATAAATATTTAAGTTATTTGGAATACTGTTTTGAGAAAAGCAGTGAAAGTCGAAAAATTTGGTAAGAACTTTGAAAAAAATTAAATAGTAATCCATCTTTAACTCAAAAAATAATTACTTTATACTTCTTTAAAATAAATTATTCTTACTTGCCTTACAGCATAGAATAGCTAAACTAGCAAATTCTCCTTGGAAAATGTGTAATAAGTATATATATATAGATTTAATAATCTACTCTTTTCATTATCCAATGTTTTTCTGATAAAGGAGCGAAGCTTTTATAACAATACTTTAGTTAACTTGTCAAAGATTTATTTTTGTTCCCGTTAATGTACACTCACTCACCTATCAAAATATTAGAAACCCCAGCCTAATAATGTGTTAGTCCTCCTTGTGTTTTGATTCCTTTGTCACCTAGTTCTTTTCTTTTTCTGTCTTTGTATAAACACAAAGTGAGGACCAGGCTATTCTATACACAGGGGTTTCTAATACTGTGGTAATGAGTGTAAGTTACAAATTACAAAAATATATCTTGAATCTGGTTGTAATGTTAGATGAAAGTTCGGTCTTAATTCTTGGTTTGGTTGTATGAAGACTGCAGCTCTTTTATGTTTTTAAAGATATACAACTAACACCATCTAGCGGAATAAAACTAAACAATATTAGTGGTGAAAGCTGTTCATGATAAGAAGATAGAAATGGGAAACTTGGTCAATAATAACTCCAAAGCTAGAAATCTGATTCAGGTGTATTTGGTAAAGGGGGAAGTAGATATGAGTGGTAGCATATGGAAACATTACTTCCAAAAACTAAAAAAACAGTGAATTAATACTTAATAAACAATGTAAGATAATACAGGATTCTCAATCTAACTAGAACTTTTTAAATAGCGGTTATATTTGAATAAATTTTAATATGTACAGAATTAAAATGTTGCAACGTTTTGGCATACAAGAAGCTATTTGAAAAACAAGGTAACTCTTAACTCAGTAATCAACGGATTGCAATTTCTAAGATGGTTAGAATTCTTGTGAAAATAAAATGAATTTTAAAAATTTTGAAAAAAAAAGTTACTTTGATTCCTAACAAATTACAATGTATATGTCGTAACAATAAGGTTATGCATCATCTTGAATGTATTCAAAATGTTATGTAAACATTTTCTGTATATTCATTATCATAATGATGTCACCATTGCCACTTCTCATGTTGTGGTTCTGACCTCCTTTTTACTTATGATAACTCATAATAAAATATGACATTTTCTGTCAAATTAATAGTGTTGCATATTTGATTTCAATAATCACTACACAAAATACTGAATAGTTTCACATTTTTATTCATTACGCATATTCATTTATCTTGAAACTTTTAAACTATGCAGCTTAAATAGAAATATTATGAATATCTACATTTTATAACTTCTTAATTTTCTTCAAAATGTTGCTTTGTTCTAATGCTGCTCTTCTCTTTCTCTGTTAAAATAAAACAAAAATTTATACTTTTTTAAATGTTTAAATCTAAGCCTTCAGTTCCAAAATGCACCTAATTCAGAAAATTATAAGGAAAAGTTTTGAATGTATTACACTAAAACTAAAAAGTACGGATATTATGTACTGCCTATCAGAACTAGTTTTTTTTTAAAGCACAGGAAATCAATACAATACACAAAAAACACAACATGCACAGTGTTCTTTTTATTTAATCAACACTTATTTTAAAGTTATATAATCAAATTTTTCCAAAATTCACAAAAATGTCCTTAATGATTATGGATGATTTTTATTTATCATTTTCCCTTAAAGTAACAACATCAATTACTTCTATTTAACAATGATGTGATAGAAACTTTCCATAGTTTCACTTAAAGCTTTAATCACTGTATCTTACATAATATTACATTTTGTACACTCAGGAACAACATGATATATGAACTAGTAATATACTAGTATCAGTCACTTTGTACCTAAAAGTTTAAAAATAATTCCTTCACAAATATACATTAAAATGTTGATGTCTGACTAAAGGACACAATGACTGGTGAAATAAGAATGTTTTAGATTTGTAAAGTATCGACTTTGTTGAAAGCAGTTACGTAACAGTTAGTGTGAATTTAACTTGTAAATCATGGAATACATCTGTGATCTTTATTGTAAGAAGCATTATTGTTAATAATCAACAGCTCATTAAAATCTTCACTTAATTAATTAGTGTGGTTTTCTAGCTTATTGTTTCTTACACTTTATTCATTACAGATAGGATAATGGTTAAAAAGTTTAAATTAAAATGTACTTTAAGTGTACATACATTTAGTAAAATTACACTTTTAGCACATTTGGTTGATTTATCATTAATTGAGCATAATTATAGGTCAAAACTGGACAGAATAATGTTACTGTCTAAACTATGTAAGTGTTGTAGGAGGTGTGAAGTGTTATTTAATTGGGAGCATATATTGGAAACATGTTTCCAAAATCCAATTAAAGTATTTAGCAAGGTTATAGTTTAAAAAGTTATAAGAAGGCATAATTTATTGCTTAATATTTCAAGAGTACTTACATTTGGAGTGCCAGGAGTTCCACCAACATCAATAATTTCTGAAATAGTTTTCTGTTTGTTTGGTGACTCTGCTTTGCATTCTCCTGCTTGGGGTAAACTGCTACCAGTCACTGTACTTGGAATACTTAAGGTCTGTAAAGTGTACAACAATATTTATACAAAATAACATAAATATAACTATTTTATCATAATTCCTTGATGTTTATATACAGGGTGAGGCAAAAGTTACTATATAGTTCTACATAGTTAAATAACTTTACTCTTGTAGAAAGGTTTCAATTTTGTCTTTGTCTTATTTGTTATTAGTTTTTTTTTTACATATTTAGACACCCATAATTGTGGCAAGAAAGATGAGAGACTATATGTGTGAAAGATAGATGTCAGACATATTAACGCTAATGGTCGACAGTTCAAACATTAAGTTGAAAAACAACATAACAATGTGATGAATTCAAATTTGATGACGAGGAACCCACTTTGAAACTAATAATGGTTGGAGATGGCTTGAATGGGTAATGAAGAAAAACTTAGATTAAAGTTTTTCTTCATTACCCATTGAAGCCATCTCCAACCATTAATAACATAACAATGTGTTCAGTTCATTTTGTAGTTAACAGAAAATGCTGTTTTTATGTTATTATGTTTAAATTTTCTTTGTATTAATAAAAGTGTGCATCTGTATAGTCACTTTTGCCTCACCCTGTATATATATATTTATAGACACACACACACACATACATACATACATACATACAGTCCATATGCAATGTTCAGACAATAACTTAACCTGGTTTAGAGAGTAAAATGGCCTTTTAAAGATGCAAACCAATGTGAATCAAATTCCTCCCAAACAATGTGTGTCAAAGTTCAAATAATAACTTCTTTTATAAACTAATTGGTAAAATGACACTATTCTATAAATTATAAAATATGACTGATTTTTAAAGTATTCTATTAATAACTTTTTCCACATCACGACTACATATACAGTAACACACTGGTTTAGCATGTATAACCTCAATTCTGCAATGCAACTGAGCAACTTTTATGTTGGATAGTTTACAGTTAATAGCATCTACATCTTAGCTTCTTAGATGAAATATGCATTCAGCTAGGTTTAAGTGCTTTTTTTGCAAACTTTTAACTATACTATTTTTTTTCTCAGAATTCAACATGGAGTAAAACCATTCACTGTATATTTACTGGACATTGTACTGAAGATTTTATTTTTTGGCTGTACAAAATTTAACTAAACACATTTCTTTCCTGCTTTATGTACTTTCAACTGAATGCAAGGCTTTAGTACACATTTTATTGATGATGATTAATTGAACTAGACAAGATTCTTCATTCTTCGTTTGTATTTATTATTGCACCTTTGTTTTTTTCACTAATGACTCTGAAATAATAAGAAATCTAACTGTAAACAAAATGACGAGAGAAATAAAAGATCAAGAAGTTATACGATTTATCAAGAAATAATTTAATTTAAAGAAATCATTTAAGTGCAGTTTTGATTCTGCATGCTCCAGGTTTACTGTATGCCACAGTTTCTAGTTTAAGGAAAAAATTTTAATACACTGATGAAATTAAGAAAACTTAATTGGTTTTATAAACATAATTATATACATATAATGAAAGTTAACCTTTTCTTAAATTGTAGACGTATTTCCAATAACACTTACCTCAACTCATGCTACAGCTATTACTCGACTGCAAAGATTTCTTCCTTTGCCCTTCTAAGCATTGGTCCGATTTCTTGCCTACTCCAGTCTTATATATCCCACTTAATTGCCCTTGGTGATACTTGTCTTGTGACACCCTTCACCTACGTCAATGCGCCCTCTATCCTGGTACTGTATATAAGCACCTCATTCAGATAATGTTAGCACTTTTTCAAGACTTACTCAATTCATATTCTATAATACTGGCTCTTAGTGGAGAGGATTGGTGGAAGAGTATGAGAGAAGGTAAATATAATTGGAAATACTTTCCAATTTATAGAACTGTTAACTTCCAAAACATATTTACCTTCTCACACTACAGTTAGAATCCCACATGGAGAAGGTGGAGGGGCCAGTAAGAGCATTATCCATACAGAAAGCATCTGCATAGATCATGTGTGTGTAAATAGAAGACTGGCACCCTATTGGGGAACCACACTACATTCAGAACAGGTATGCTCTTCACCAGGAACTTAATACTGTGGGTGAAATTTTACATTATTTATCATCACTACTGGCCAGGCCCCAACCAAATAGCTGAGTTTCCACTGCTCGAGGTTGAAGTTATAAGGCCATGGTCCATACATCCCACTTTAGAGAAAAATCACCTTTAAAAACTGTGGCAGTGATTATTTACTTGGTGATGTTTTGAGCAAATACTATTTTTCATGCCACAAACAAGCCTGTGGGTTAATAACAATTACAGGAAGGATTGAAATGAAACAATACATAGAAACAGAAGGTAATATGAAATAGAACTACAAGAATTAAACAATACAGTAAAAACCATATAATAAAGCTGGTGAGAAAAAACTATTAAAAATTATTAGAAATATAGAACAACTTTACATAGCAAAGAAAGAAATAACTTAAACATTTTAAAGGGTACTTAAAAAGTTATAAAAAAGCTGAACCATTCTTTACAACCCAAAGGACTTAAACAACCCAATTTAAAAATGATTACTTTTTCAACTTTAAAGTGCTCAAGAGAATGATCAGATTTGTTGAAAGGCCGAGCTACAAGTTTATCATAGTCTATAATCAAAATGCTACGTAAGTGTTCTTGTGTGTGTTGAGTGAACATTCGGCTGATTGTTACAAATAACATAATAAACTAAACAATTAGATATACAGGTGAAATTGCTATTCACAGAATATGTTGATTTAGGGCCTCTAACAAATGTTCTATAGATCATGTAAGGGCAAGTGTTGCATATGCTCCTTTGACAACTATACATTCCAGCTTGAGTAGCAGATGATAGTTGTATGTTGTTCGGAAGTTAACTATGGACAAGTAAATCTTAAATGTTTGTGTCTTGTTTATAAGAGATTACAGGTTTGTTAGGGAACATGTGACGGATGGTATTGTCCTGTGTTATGATGTGGAAGTTGTCAAAAAATATGTGTGTTAAGTGGGTGAAACGCAAGTGTAAGGGGAACGTGTTGATGATCAGTGGAAATAGGAGTGAGTTGGTTGAAATGAGATTGGACATATGTAGTTGGAAGTTTTGAATTGTCTACAATGTTGGTGTTATAATTACTGATATGATTTAAGCTAGACAATTTCTGGAAAGCTAAAGTTGACGTTTATTGTTAGTAAGTAGATTATCTTTAGTGTGATGAAGAAGAGAAGTGGGGTAGTAACATTTTTCAAAAAAGTGGAGCATGTTGATAGATTTGCTATTATAATCTTGGTCATTACTGCAGAGCCTATGCAATCTGGTGATTTGGGAATGTTTCTCTTGATGTATAGAGGATGACTGGAGTGAAAATGTGAATAGCTATGTGTGTCCGTCAGTTTGTAATGTACAGACATCGTGAGATTGCCACCATCAATTACATAAATATCTATGTCAAGAAATGAAATGATTTGGTGAGAAACAGAGTGATGGGTGAAAAGATTGAATGAACTGAACAAAAACATTGAGTTCTCCATTAGTGCATGTAGCTATACACAGATACCCTCTCAGCCTTATATTTTAGATACATTGATGATGTTTCCGGTATAGCTACATGCACTAATGGTTGTCGATATGTTATGGTTGGCACCTCCTCTTAAAACACCATTGCTAATATGCATATCATTTTCATTGATAAATGTCCATCATAGGACTAGGCAAAGACTGAGACAGATACATAGCAACCTTAGAAATTAAACCCCGACACTGTGCAAAATATTACACAACCTCAATGCCTGAGACTTCAGCTTCTGGATAGCTGGGTGTACCATGTCAGATCATGGCTGCTTCCACAGAGATGCTGCCAAAGAAGAAGTGGAAGTGGTGGACACTCCTTAAAGGTACCACAGAAGCAGAATCCATTGTGTAGCTGTCAATTCAGTGCTATCAACAGGACCCAACAATTGGTTGGAACAAATCATAGTTAGTACCTTGGTAACATATGAATTGGAGGGAAAGCTTAGAGTTTTAATCTGATCTCGTCCTGATGGAATGCATCAATTGCGAAAGCCCAAAAATGAGGTACTGGGGACCAAATTGCCAGTAGTTGGGTGTCCCAATGAGTGGCCAACCCACCAAACATCAGTGTGGCAAAATGTGAGCCAGTCCAACAGAACCCTGCAATGCAGTATCTTTTCTTTTGAGAGAATCTGTTTGGGTTTAGACATTTGATCTGCTACTTCAGTCATCACCCATGGAACATGGCAAGCTAGCAGGGTGATATGATAGGAGTGGTCCTGAGATAGCAGGTTCATAGTTCGAAAACAAGGAGCCCTGGACCAAGTGCTTCCTTGATGGGAAATGCAAGACACCACTATGGAATTGTTAGAGTGAAGCCTGATGATTTTCCCCTTAATAAGCCAAAACCATGAGGCATTGCCTTTTGAAGAGCAAAAAGGACTAAAACATTGTGTAGGGAAGCCTCATCATCCGTGTACAGACCCTGGAATTCCTGATTGTTAGAATATGCCCCCATCCCTGAAGCTAGGCATTTGTGAAGAGATGGAACTCTGGACGAAGTGGCGGCAGAGGAACCCCTATTTTAGTAGTATCTCACCTTAACAACCCCTCGAGATTGAAGAATGATCCTGACTAAGGAAACTGGAGAATCCAGTGAACCAATGTGTATAATCCCTTGGTTGCATAAAAACCACTGAAAGGATCTCTTGTGTTCTCATCCCAAAGGCACGAGGGATTTGAGTGATGCCCACATTCCCAAAAGAGAACCATCTGTGCAGTGAGAGAAGGAGAGGTGAAGAAGTGTCAGGCTTCCTGTTTCATAGCGTGGAGCCTAATGGGAGTCAGCTGAGCCCGACTGAGAAACAGGATGAAAAAACCCAGATTAATGAAATATTGAATTGAAGCAAGAATAGATGTCTCAGTTCTAAGAATGAATCCTGCCTTGGTTGTTTCTGAAAATAGAATCAGGATGTGACGTACTGAAAATTGA